CCCTTCCCCTAAATTCGGTCAGCGCACCCACTTGTTCCTGCGGCCCGAGGGGCACCGTGAACGCATCATCTTCGGCGCTCCTCGATGGGGTTTGGGGGGGCCCAGCCAGTCGGGCACTGCAGGCACTTCAGCGCATTGACAACGCCCCGGGCAGCAGCGCCCTGCGCCCGCTGCCTTCGCTGCGTTTCGCGGAGCCTCCCGCCTCGACCCCCCCCCCCACATGGAACCGATCCGGAGAAGATTGACGCATCAAACTGAACGAGGGACACGCCACTCGGGGGCGGAAAAGAGGGGGGTGATGACTAGGGGGGGGTGGATATCATGGCGGGGGGCATGATATTTCCTCAGATTTCACGGCGCCTCTTCTTATTTCATTACGTCCCTGGCCCCCCCCGCTGGGCCGCGCACATGCCGCCGTTCATGATTTGCACCCCCCTCTCTTGGACACCCCCCTCTTTGCCGCTCCCGAGCCACGAGCGCCAGGCCTCATCACATCTGCCTGGGCCCCCTTCTCGACCGCCTTCAGGAGCCCGATCGACTCGCCATCCCCCTAGTGGATACCGTGGCCCTTGACGCACGTCAACTCCGGGAGCAACGACGCCAACCTCGACCCTCAGGACTGCTCGCGGGGCCCAGACCACCTGACGTCCTCAAAGTCGAGACTTTCACAAACGTGGGCTCTTCAGCCCTCCCGGAATATTACGAAGGCCTGACGGCGGTGCCGCCGACCCTGAAGAGGACAACGACGTCGGCGACGAAGTGGGCGGAGACGGAGGCCGTGGAAGATGAGGAGGAGGAGGATGAAGAGGCGAAGAGGAGGAGGAGGAGGAGGAGGAGGAGGAGGAGAAGGAGAAGGAGAAGGAGAAGGAGAAGGAGGAGGAGGAGGAGGAGGAGGAGCAGGAGGGAGGATGAGAGAGGAGGAGCGTGGAGGTGGAGGCTGGAGCAGGAGGGGGAGGAGGAGGGGGAGGAGGAGGAGGAGGAGGAGGAGGAGGAGGAGGAGGAGGAAAGGAGAAGAGAGGGCTCTGGCGGCGCCCGAAAGCCTCGATCCTGGAGCCTGAGGTTCGGAGTCCACAGAGTGAGCAGGAGGAGGAGGAGGAGGAGGAGGAGGACCAGGGGGAGTTGTTCTACATGTTCAGTCTTTCGTCATTTTCGGCCTCCAGGGGCCATTTTGGGAACCGGGGAGCCGCGCGGGGTTCCGGAAACGCGCGGGGACCGCGCCATGCCAGACGCGCGGGGAGCGAAAGCGTATTTGGGTGGCGACCCCCCCCCCCGGGACCTCCCCTGGGACCCCCCCGGGACCCCCCCGGGACCCCCCCCCGCTTGGGAAGGGAGGGGTTTCCCTTTGACGTGGTTACGACATGGGTCGATTTCGCTCAAGCCCGCTAGAGCACTGCAACGACGACGACGACGACGAACGGCACAGCCCCTCACACACGCCGACAGGGTCGGCGGATTTGGGCTGGTCCAGATTCTCGCGGTGCACGCCGAGTTCTTCCTCCAGCCTCTCAGCGAAGCTACGCTAGCAAACGTTGAGCGATCCACGATCTTCCACCGACCGAACATAATTCAGGAGGGAAAAACACACAGACACAATTAATCGTCGATTCCCAAGAAAATATGGGAAGTGGGGGGGGAAGACGAAAACCCAGAACATATCAGAAAATACGGGGCATCTTTTTATTTGTGTGTATCTCTTTGTGTCCCAGGGCCCCCTCAGTAATCCAGCAGCTCATCGTATCCTAGCGCCTCTGGCACAGGTCCAACGGCAACGTCGGCAGGGGAAGCCCTCGGAGAGCGCAGTGCCTCTGCTGGCAAATCGCGAGGCTCGCCCTTGAGCTTGACCGCTCAGGAGGGGAAACAACACACAGACACAGTCAACCGTCCGCTCCCAGGACAATGTGGGAACATGCGGGGAGTGGGGGGGGAAGACGAAACCCCATAACATATGGGAAAGTATCGGGTATTTTTTTTTGTTTGTGTGTATTTATTTGTGTGTCCCAGGGCCCCTTCAGAGAAACTCGCCCTTGAACTTGACCACCCCGGGCCAGTGCGGCTTGGTGGACGCTCCCCTGCTGATGTGGCAAGAGTGCGCGCTGGCCACCAGACCTGACACATCACGTAATACCCCCACTGTCCTCCACGGTTTGGCCGTCGACTTGCACGTGTCCTGGGGGGTCTGATCGTGTGCCCCCCGAGGCGACCAGCCCACCCCATCTCCCGAAGCATCTCAGTCGTGACATTCCAGTCCCCTCCCAAGAAGAGCAGCAGTGGGCCCCTGGAGTGAAGGTGCTCCCCCCGACGGCCGAGGATTTTGGCTCCCTATTGGACCGAGGGGATCCCGGTCGGGCAAGTCGACGGATCCCAGGATGAACCCACCATGCTCGTAGGCGTTCACCCGCTTGAGCATCTGGCGGTGCGGGTATGGCAAGTACTGGATGCTGGACGGTGGCGTTCCCATGCCGACGCAATCCCTGCACGCAAGAGCGACCCCACTTTGCAGGGCCCCCGCAGCAGCGATAGCTGAAACTTGGATACTCGCTTGCCAACCGAATGTTTCACATTTCGCGTTAATTTCAATTTGCTCTTGCGGGACAGCAGTCATTCCCTGTACCATAGCGATATGACTAGACACTTCGCCCTAGAGATGCTGGTGCGCTGCGGACCAAGCTGTGGTATTACAGGTTTCTATCGTGAAAAAACACTCCCTGACCAGACATTGGAGACTTGGCACCCTTACCTGGCTGGGCGGAGCGCTCCTTGCGGACACTGTTGCCTCGTGAGAGGCCAAGACTCAAGGGAGGAAAAACCACCCGGCCCCGACAATTGGCGTTTAATAAAACATGGCCGTGGGTGTTTACTACTAAACAGCCCCGCCCTGTTTGGTTCTTCCTTTGGGCGCGTTTACTAAACGACTTCGCGTGTCGGGGTGGTTAATATTGGGGTCCTCTAAAGACGGGGGGGGGACAGGATGGATGTCGGGAGGCGAACTATGAGGGTTCCACGGCGGGGTGGGCGGTGGCCAGGCAGGGACCGGGAAGAACCCAGGTGCACGCCCGACCCCAGCACCGCCCGAGGCCCCGAGAGGCCTGTTGCCCCCGTGGTTTCTCTTCCGCTTTGCCTGCAACCCCCATTGGTGACGGCCGCGCCTCCAGCTCCACCGGCAGCACCATTTTTTTTTCTGCTCCCTTAGCTCGAAGAGGAGGCACCACCACAAAGATAATTTTTTGGTGCTCTGCGCGGATTTCTTGGATCCGCGTTGGGTCCCCTCGGCGGCGCCTCCGGCGCCGCCCCTGGCGCGCGCCGAGCGCCAGGCAGGGGAGGTCCAGCGCAGATCCAAGAGATCAGCGCGGATCGCCACAAAATTGTGTGCATGCCGTTTTTTTCTATTCGCGCCAAGGGCCTCTGCAGCCTTGGCCCTCACATCCGATGACCCAGCCGATCTTGCTGCAGCCTCGTGGCCACGCGGCCCGGCAGCAGCAGCCGCAGCATGTGCAGCAGGTGCGGGAGGAGCCGACTGCTCCCGAGCCTCGGCGCCCGCGTGCTGCCCGTCGTCGTTGTTCCTGCGCTCCTCCTGCAGCCTCTCGATGTGCGCGGTATGTTCGCGCTGCAACTCCTATCGACGTGGAACAAGTGCCATAAGCATAAACTGTTGGCGCTCCGCGTGGATTTCTTGGATCCGCGCCGGGGTCCCCCTGAGGTGCCTCCAGCGCCGCCCCTGGCGCGCTCCGCGCGCCAGGGAGGGGGTCCAGCGCAGATCCAAGAAATCCGCGCGGACCGTCCAAAGTTTATGTGAATGCCACTTGTTCTTCTTCATGTTCTGCCGTGTCTCCTTAACGGTTCCGAAGAGCTGCTAGGCAATCCTTTGGAGGCCTTTAAGCAACATCTCCTCCCGCGCCGCCGCCCCCTTCCGATCGGAGTTCGAGAACTCATATACGTCAGTGAGCTCGAACATGTCGTCTCAGCCGTCGAGGTCGGTGCACGTCGTGTCGCCTTGCAGCAGTCTGTCGAGCGAGATCTTGGACCGCTCAGACTCATTCTCATCCTCATCTCTGGCCTCAGGGTACATATGGCCCAGCAAGTCGCTGTACTCAGTGCCCGCCGGCTCGAGCTTGGACGTGAGTTTGGCGACCCCCCTCTCTTGAACCGCAACAACTTGACAAAGCCGCTGCAGCTTGTCCACGTTGCTGGGCACATTCTCGAGATGGTCGACCTGTTGGTGCGCCTTGTGCGCCTGCACCTGCAACGGGACTCCCTTGGGACCTTTTCCTAATTCTGTTTGAACTCCAAGAGCTTCTGTTACTTCGAGACCAACACGGAATCACCTGCCTTCTGACTCAGAGCGATCAGCTGCTTGATCTCCGAGACCGGGCGCTCCTTGTCGCTTTTGCCGAGGCCTCGGGGCGGCTAGATGCCCACCGTGAGCGGGGGGCAAGCGCCGTCTTCAAGTGCGAGCAGCCCCACCTCATTGCCGACCTCGACGTGCCAGGCGGCATTACAATGGACACAGCGCCACTTGTGCCAGGGGTTGTTCTTGCAGCCGCACTGCTCGCGCTTCCACTTCCGTGTTGCCCCACAAGAGTTGTCCGTTCTCTTCCGCTCATCACGGCACGGCACCGTTTCTGGTCTCCCCCCGTTTCAGCAGCATCACCCCGCGCCCTGTAGGGGATCCAGCGAAAGTAGGGGTCGCAGCGGATGGCACCGTGACGTGCCGTGATGTGAGCCCGGCAGAAGCTTCTCTACTGCCAGGCAAAAAGAGAGAGAGAGAGAGAGAGAGAGAGAGAGAGAGAGAAAAAACGCAAACTGTAGCACTTGCCTTGAGCCAGAATGGCTGGAGCCAAGATGGTTTGAGCGAAGATGGCTACGGACAACCCCCGCTCCTCCTCCGCCTCCTCCTCCTCCGCCTCCTCCTCCTCCTCCTCCCCCTCCCTTCATTTCTTTGTTCTCATTGTCCTCATTGTCTCCGCCTCATCCGCCTTCCTCACGATCCCCCCTGTTCCGAGGAGTCCGCGGCGAACTTGGATCAGGCGATCGATGCGTACATGGACGACCCGGGGTACCCATGTGAGAAGGCCAGAGGGAGGAACGAAAAAGTGAGGGAGATCACGACGGAAGGCTTTTGGCAATTCTCCACGCTTCGCGTATCCCCACCAGCCCGTAGCCTCTGGCTCAAGGCCGCTCTGGCTCGAGGTTGCCGAGCTGGCCCGTCGCCCGCGCGCCTTGGGCCGGAGGTCGGCCCTGACCTCCGGCGTGCCCGGGAGGGAGCCGGGAAGGGGGGCCCCGTCCTGGCTCCCCCCCTCCCGTGCCATGGCGGGCGCTTCCCCGCGGCCGGCGGCTGGCGCTGGCGGTCCTCCGGGCGCGCCTGGTGCCGCTGCCGCTGCGTTGTCGCGTGCCGCCCGCCGCCGGGGCCAGCGGCGGGCGCTGGCTGCCCGCTGGGCTGCCGCCGCTGCCCCGCACCCTGGGCCCCCTCCGCCGTCCCCACAGCCAGGGGGTGGGCGTGACGCTGCTGGCGCCGCCGCCGCTGGTGCCGCTGCTTGGGCTGGCGTGCCCCGTGTTGCTGGCGGGAGCTGGGCTGCCGCCGCCGCGGCTGGTGGCCCGGCTGCTGCCGCCTCCTGCCCTGCGGACGCGGCGGCTGCCGCCGAGGCCTCCGCCGCCGCCGGTCTCTGGGACACGGCGGCTGCGCTGGTGCGTGTGGCTGGCCTTGCCGCGGCCGCGGCTAGCGCGGCCCCGCGCCGCGTGGCGCCCGGGGGCTCCGCGCCCTCGGCTTGGTCGGCGGCCGCGACCTCCGCTGCGGCCGCGGCCGCCGCTGCCGCCGGGCCTGCCGCGCCGCCCGGGATGGCGTTCGTGGGCGAGCTGGGCGCTCAGGATCCCGGGATATCCTGGAACGCGGCTGAGTTTACTGCGGACGTTAGCACGGACACCCTTGCCCAGAGGTGCCCGACAGAGCTGAAGCACGGCCGCGTGTGCATGTTTGCGACCGGGCGGCGGGGTCATGCAGTATTGGTTCAAGGAGCTTGCGTTCGGAGGTGTGTTTCCAATCTTTTATTGTGCGTGATGTGTTTTGTGTTTGTGCGTGTGTTTCGTGCCACGAGTCTCCATGAACTATAGTTGTTTTGCAAAGGAGGGTCTTTGGGGCTGTGTGGTACTGGTTTGGTTGTTCGTGCTCAGACTCTTCAGCGTAGGGCGCGGTTTTGATCCTCACCGCCCCACGCCCTGCTCCTTGGGCCGCGGCGTCGGGTCGAGACTCGCCATCTCGACCGGCGCGTCCACAGACCGCCGAGTCGGAAAGGAGCTACTGTGCCTCGTTTAGCGCGCTTGTGATTATGTGGACCCATGGATGCCCAGGCCGCCCGGCCGGGTCGTGGGGCAACGGGCCGGCTACATAGGATGGAGACTAGTCCATGGTTTTCAGAAATGCTGCGCGAGCCGGCACGGCAAACCCCTGCAGTGCACAGCGGATGGACTCCGAGTCCGCTGTGCGCATTGTGCCCTGGGTCGTTCGTTCCCTTTGTTCTTGCTCGTGTCTCCTGCCAGGGCGGGAGGGCATCACTCGACAGTCCCTGGGTCGGGGGCGGTTGATGTCTCCGGGCATCTCCCCTGGCCACACACTAGTCGTTAGCGCTGGGGGGCGTCTGACCACCGCGCACTGGTGTAGGTGGAGCGCGGGTTACTGTGCGGCGCGCTGCCTGTCCTAAGGTGTCGACCTTACATGTTTTGACCAGGCAACCATGGACGCCAGTGGCTACCGAGCAGTTTGGAAACGTTTGGTTCTTCTGGCGTTTCTCGGAGGGTGGGTGGGGGAACTCTGGCGGGCTTCGAGCGTAATCCTGTATTTCGCCAAGCTGCGAGCTGTGCGTGCCCGTGTTCTCGCTTGGTTGTTTGCGCCGCGTTCGCCTTCGGGCCGCCCGCTGCGCCGGGGTCCGGTCTTGCACCGGGCCTCTTTGGGTGGGGGTCTTGCACCCTGTTGGCGTGTGACGCAACCTCGGAGGATCCAGGCCGCTTGCGAACCGTATGGGAGGGAACGTCGCATGGACGGGGAGTCGCGTAAAGGGATACGCACTGTGCGTGTATGTACATTGTGTATGGTACCGTGTGATGTGTTGTGCGTACTCGTGAGTGTGTGTGGTACGCTATTATGTTGTGTACGTTGTCCGGGATCTGGCGGGTTTCGAGCGTAATCCTGTATTTCGCCAAGCTGCGAGCTGTGCGTGCCCGTGTTCTCGTTTGGTTGCTTGTGCCGCCTTCGCCTTCGGGCCGCCCGCTGCGCCGGGGTCCGGTCTTGCACCGGGCCTCTTTGGGTGGGGGTCTTGCACCCTGTTGGCATGTGATGCAACCTCGGAGGATCCAGGCCGCTTGAGAACCGTATGGGAGGGAACGTCGCGTGGACGGGGAGTCGCATAAAAGGATACGCACTGTGCGTGTGTGTACATTGTGTATGGTACCGTGTGTTGTGTTGTGCATACTCGTGAGTGTGTGTGGTACGATATTATGTGGTGTACGTTGTCCGGGATGTACGGGTGCACAGTGATCCCAACCGCTTTTTCAAGGGGGAACCGCCCACCATTTGGACCCTGCGCAAACGAGTGTTTGGGTGTCCCTGTGGCCCGCTACGGGATATCCTCTCCTCCCCTGTTCCCCCTCCCCCTCCTCCTCCTCCCCCTCCCCCTCCCCCTCCTCCTCCTCCTCCTCCCCCTCCTCCTGCTCCGCCTCCCCCTTCCTCCTGGCGGGTATCTCGTGTCGGCCTGTGCGCTTCGTCTTTTGATAGGTCGGCGGGGGCCGCCGTCCGGGCGTGCATACCCCCCACCAAGACCAAGACCAAGACCATGTTTGCGACCCTGGGCTACATCATACCCGAGAGCACTAGCAAGCTGCCTGGATGCCGCCTGTCGCCGGCGGCCGGCCAGAGGTCCGTCGACCCCCCGCACGGCCTTGGAGCGCACTCCAAGGGTCTCGCGGCGGGCTGGGCACAGATCGTGGCGTATAACGCTTTCTGCGAGGTGCCACAGGTTCAGTCTGCTGGCACCGCTGCTGCTGCAGGCGCAGTCGGCTGGAAGGCGCGGCGGTCCAGTGACACCGGGGGAAAACGGTCCAAGATGGCGGCGGAGATCGCGAACGCTCCCCTTCCCATGACGGCTCTCATCGGCATGTTCGTCCAGGACGGTTTGACAGGCTCCGCCTGGGGCGATTGGATTCTCTACGCAGTATCCCCGCCGCGCACGCTCGAGAGCGAGCGCATGGTCAAGGAGGATGTGGACGACGATGAGGTGGAGGCGGAGGTCGAGGACGTGGAGGTGGAGGCGGAGGACAAGGAAGTGGAGGTGGAGGCGGAAGACGAGGACGTGGACGAGGTGGACGAGGAGATGAAGCGGTCCTTGAACGCGGAGCTGGCCAGCGGCCGCCTGGCCATGGTGGCCATCATCGGGATGTTCCTCCAGGTCGGCCTCATGGGTTCCGCCTGGGGCGACTGGGCGACCTACACGGATTCGCCGATGCGCGCCGTCGATAGCGAGTGGGACTTGCAGGCGCCCGTCGGCTATTGGGACCCGCTCGACCTGGCGAGGGACTTCGGTGCGGACCCCCCCCACACGAGGAGAGACACCGAGGTCAAGCACGGCCGCGTCGCCACGTGGGCCGCCATAGGGTACATCGTACAGGACTTATTCCTGTGGCAGGGAGGTGCCGTCCTCGATGGCTCCGCCGAGGGCGAATGGGCGACCCACACGGATCTGCCGCCGCGCGCCATCGAGAGCGTGTGGGGCCGGCAGGCGCCCGTCGGCCATTGGGGCCCGCTCGGCTTTGCAAAGGACTGCGGTGCGGACGTCGTCGACAGGAGGAGGCGCACCGAGATCAAGCACGGCCACTTTGCCACGTGGGCCGCCATGGGGTACAACAGGACGGATATCTTCCTGTGGCCGGGAGGTGTCGCCCTCGAAGGGCCTGCGCGTTCGTCCGAGCTGGGCACGTCTTCAGCCTCGGATGCGTTCCAGCAACGGCGCCTCGCCGATGACAGTCCGGGGCTGCCCAGATCGTCCCGAACGGCCGCCAAGGGCCCAAGTTACGTTACGAGGCTTCCGAGGGGCCTGAGCGTTCCTGGCAAGGTGTCTGGTTTTCCTCCCGACAAGAGGTCCACGACGCCTCCCCGAGAGGATGGTGGAGTCTCCACAGGCGTATCTCACAGCTTCAGAAGGGACGAGCCTTCAGCTCGAGAACCAGAGACTTCAGCCAATCAGCTCCCTGGGCAGCCTGACCACCACGACGCCGACGCCGCCGACGACGACCTCCACGGACGCCGTCGCCTCGACGACGACGACGACCACCACGACCACGACCACGAGCACGACCACGACCACGACCGCGACGACGATAGTGGGTTGGAAGAGGAAATTCTTGACAGTCGCAGACGGGACGAGCTTTCGGCTCGGGAGTCACAGGCGGGACGAGCCTTCAGCTCGAGTCTCCAAGGCGTATCTCACAGCTTCAAAAAAGACGAGCCTTCGGTTCGGGAGCCACAGGCGGGACGAGACCTCTGCTCGAGACTCCAAGGCGTATCTGTTGATGCTCAAGCGGTCGGGGCTCAACCTGCGGGCAGTCGCAGGCGGGACGAGCCTTCAGCTCGGGAGTCACAGGCGGGGCGAGCCTTCAGCTCGAGTCGCCAAGGCGTATCTCGCAGCTCCAGAAGGGACGAGCCTTCAACTCAATAGCCAGAGACGATGCCCACGGACGCCGAGAGCGCCGCAGACCACGACCACGACTGCGAGCACGAGCGCGACCACGACGACGATAGGTGGTTGGAAGAGGAAATTCTTGACAGTCGCAGACGGGACGAGCCTTCAGCTCGGGAGTCACAGGCGGGACGAGCCTTCAGCTCGAGTCTACAAGGCGTATCTCACAGCTTCAAAAAAGACGAGCCTTCAGCTCGGGAGCCACAGGCGGGATGAGACCTCTGCTCGAGACTCCAAGGCGTATCTGTTGATGCTCAAGCGGTCGGGGCTCGACCTGTGGCGGCACGAGCTCAAGGTATCACATTGCCAGTCGCCGGGGCCGTCGGCCACCACCTCATACCCCATTGCCC